CATTATGGCAACACCATCACTTCCGGCCTTATTTTGCAAACAACACAATCACCCAACAGCTTAAACAACCATTAAAGACATGGTCTTTGCACATTCACAATTGGTTGGTTTTTTGGTATATGGAACCGATTTATTTGAATCTTCAGCACAGACAAACTCAACATCTTGTTATTAATTTATCATAAAACTCGTGGGAGCTCTGTTTGTCGTGTAGTGTAGCTCGTGTGCATATGGTTTTAAACCTCGCCGTGAAGATGAAGCTGCACAAGAACAAGACGGTGTCGTTTTATGAGATATGTTTCTGTCGTCTAGCTTTGTCTCTCTCACCGATACGTCGTCATTTTCATCTTCGCATTGAAACGTTGCGTTTCGAAGAGGAGAGAGAGATCTAGCTTTTCGATGAATAGATATGCTTCTCAGTTTCAGATCTCTACCACGACGGTTAACAACAATCTCACCGTCATGGAAATCTCCGTCGTCTTCTTCCTCTCTTTCTAGATCTAGAAGCGGCGATAAGATTTGAGGCTTTAATGGCTTGATCTGACCATTAGAGAACAATTCATCGGCGGAGATCATAGACATCATCACCATTGTTAGCTTGAGGAATTTGTTGACAGAAACTTGTCGTCGAGAATGAGATCGACGAGAGAAATTAAAAAAGTTTCGGGTTCCGAAAAATTTCCTCAAGCGTTTAATATATCTTAGATCTAGAATTACGTTCCTCTCACTAAGGGGTAAACTTGTCCTTGTTAAACAAAATTGTGGTATTTTTGTAAAAAGGGGATACGTGTGGCATTTTTGCAAGAGTGGAGCCAATTTGTGGTATTTTTGCAAATCTTCCAATATTATTTAGGTTATAATTATAAATGAGGATATTTTACATATTTACAATTTTTAGATGCACCATTTAAAGTCACCTAGATGCACCATCTATATCTACAATTTTTGTGAAGAGATTTTTAACTATATCTAAATGCACCATCTGGATGATATGTTTAATCTATACTTATAATTGTGAGGTCGAAAATCCTACGTGTCGTCTCCACAGTGAGTTTAAGACTTGCTTTGCCTATATTACCCTTAATGAATCAATTTATTTACATCCNTTGCCATTGAATTATTTTTTAGGCCCAAAATATCACTAAAACATTTTTATTATGTTATTAGACTTGAGCTTTTTTTTAAAAAATAATTGAATTACGAAAATAATAATTTTGTATGACCCATTTTTTTAGTAAATATTGTTTAATATATTATAATAAGATGTAGTCAAATTTTATGGTAATTTTTTGTTAATATCTAATCAAAGATAGAAAATATTCTTTATTTTATTATTGGATGAGATATCATTCTCAAATTATCACCNTAACTTTTTNTAATATATATNTGCTTAGATCAGTCCAATNCTAATNGTTTGTTACCGCTTTATTGTTTTACTGGTTTGATATTTTGGTGATTAAGTTATCATACTTCCATGATTAATCACAAGGTTCGCCATGGTATCAAAAACATAAAAAAATTTTAATTACTTTATTCTTGGTGAAATATATTGTTTGTTGTTTTACTACTTTGGGTTTGGACCAAATTTTAATCAAGACCCATAAAAAAATTCGGATTGATCATTGATGGTGTTTTATTTTAATTTTGTTATTATGATGTTGTATGCTTGAAATTTGCGGAGATAAATTGAATCGCCATGGCTAAAAAATCACGTGTCTAATGGTATTTGTTCTCTAATTTTTTCTTTATTTTTTT